TGTTTGAATTGGTTTGCTTGTTTCCCTCTTAGCTGTCAGTTCAAGTGACAGGCAAATCTGCAAGTTTGTGCTTTTGACTTTTAACCCAGCAGTTTGGGTAAGTGTTCTGAGAATGTGTGCCCAGTAATTTGGAAATATGTTTCACTTCTAGTGTCTTCATTTGGACAGCCAAAAAAATCACTAACTACAAATTTAGGCACAAATGTCTTAGGGTGATATTTGCCTTTTCTTATTGAAATTTAAAGGGTTTATCACTATGCAAACGTTTCAGACGCTTTTTCTAGGAAATTCAGAGAAATGTGCTTTGTTAAATGAGGGATATTCTGGATTTTTTTTTTTCTTTATATGTTACAAGAATGAACATAAAAGCTATAAAACCCTGTATTCACTATTCTGCATTGGATCTAGGAGGGTGGCGTTATATGAGGAGATGCCATGGTAACTGAAGTTGCTAAGACAGTCGGTGTCAAGCTTCCTAATGGTGACTGCTATATTATATTTAGGCTTTGGTTTACCACAGTATGAATAGAAAATGAAAAGTGTTTAGTGGTCTTGTTTCCTACCATCTACAGTTCAGAGGCAATGAGGTGGCGCAGGATACAGTATTGCACGATCTTTGCCAACAGCTGGCAACCAGGATTGTTCTTCAGAGCACACCCCTCTCTTGCTGGATCTTGTGGCATTCCTGCAGCAGCCTTACCGTTTGTGCTATTCAGCTAATCATACACCACCTGTCTTAATGAAATTTAACACCTGGAGGCAATAGAGGAGTCAGCACTTTGTGACCAGCCAGCTGGTCAAAAATCAGTAAAGTCGTTTCTGCAGGAAGCTATTACCTGAATCTGTAAGTAGTGTGAAAACAGAATGAAGCAGGAGCATGCATACTGTTTTTTTATTCTCAAAAATGGCCTAAATGTACCCATCTCCCATGCTATATAAAGCTTTATCGGTACAATAGATCCCTGTTACCAGTAATTTTCACCAAAGTGGTGGAAATTCATTTCTCTACAAGTTCTTTTTAAAATGCTAGAATAGAAGGTGAAATCTCTTTACTAAGGCATCATTTTGCTCCCTTTAACACAATTAGTTTACTGATGTGCTGAAGTATTACTGTAAGTTAAAATGAAGCTCCTTGCTAAAATATGCAGGGGGCTGTTCCACGTCATTAGTCGTTACCTTTCAATCTGGAGTAAAATCCCATCCCCTAGTAGTAGGGCTCATGCTGTTTATATGAGAGTGCGCTGCTTTACTCAGAAACAAATAGTCACAGAGCAGGGTTTGAAATGCTTTATGAATGAAATAAACAAACCTGGCCACATCACAACTATTTTAGACAATTGGGAAGCTACTGGGAAAAATAGTGAACAGGCATGACTTGGGTAGAAATAGCTTAAGCATGAGTACAGCTCAGTTCAAACAGCCTTCTGCCATTCACTCCTGTAGTTAGGAAGACATAAGCGAAGAAGCATGAGAAGAAGAAACAGATAAATTGGAAGGAAAAGAAAGATTAAAGCAATAATAGTGGAAAAAAAAAACTTTAACACCGTGATTATTTAGGTAGAATGCTGGCCTCAAAGACCTATTGCTTGACACATGAAAATTTGATAGTAGCAAATAGATTTCTAGGAACAATATTGTATAGGCAGGAGGATGGGTAAGATATTCACAAAGCATTTACATAGGTTATGTCCACTGGCATTATGAAGAGAGTAAATATGTGCACTGTTTCTCCTGGTTTTGGATCACGTGGATTTTGAAAAACACAGGAGGTAGCAACATTGCCACCTCCTCTGGAAATTAGTAAATGAATCAAAAGAGATTCAGCTGAAACAGAACAGATGAGATGAGAAGTATTCATATTCCTTAAAAATAGTCTGGATTAGAACATTGATATTCAATCTCATTATTAATACACACTTTCTGCATTGAATATATTTTGAATGCTAAAATGCAACACACCGAATTAATTCCTAGGATAACTTTGTTCAAGTCAGCAAAGCAAGAAGACATTTTTTGTCACACAACTGTAAACCTGAAATATGTCAAACGTAGAGAATAACTTGGCTCTGAAAGCAACACAAAGGATTAATATGATCTATGCTATGGAGAAAATATGGAAAGCTAAGCTAGGTAGGTTTGCCAATTCAAAAAGTGTCATCTAATATCTATTTTTCTTTGAATGTGTTGTGTCCTACATTCTAGTAAATTTGTTGACTAAATAATGTGTTTAAATTGATACTGCAAATTCAGGCCAGCCTTTGGGTTCTCTACAATTATTCATTTGTAAGGCTGTGAATGCTTATTAATGGTCTTGGCTTTAAAATGAGCATTTCTGCTTCCAAAGCACTGCACATGACTAATTTATTTTTCTGCTTATTCAAAAGCAACAGATTGTCACGAAGCCAAGTCTACATTGAATTAAAACCATGTTGCTTTGCTTCTATAGAAGAGGTGATACTTGGCTGTTTTAAAAAACAGTCACATTTCAAATGAGCGTTAGTTCATCACTGAAACTGCAAAGTGGAGGAATGATAGAAATAAGATAATGGTAAATGCAGTATAAAATTTCTCCCATGGCACATTGTAGAGAAACCTTACATTTGCATAGTGTGGCTGATATTATACGCTTTCCAGGCAAAATAAAAGAAGACGGAAGTTTGCAGCAGAGCACCTTGTCAAGAGAACCCAAAGCCTAATTAACTTTAGAAATATGAAGCTATGAAGATTATGAAGATTACCTGCTTCTTGTTTTGTTTGATTTGGTTTCTGTCCAGGTTAACATACGATGGAGTTGTCTCTCTGGTTGTATGTACGGTCCCGACCTTGTTCCTATGTTCTACTGTATATTCCTGCTTTAAAGGTTCAATTTACCTTTTGGTGTTTTGCAGCCCCCACACCCTTTTGTCAGTTTTTTTAGTCTTCAGAGAAGGATTAACTTCTCAATAATGGTTTCACGTTGTATTTGTGGATCCTAATAATAAATGGGTTTGGTTAGTGTTACCTGAAGCTGCCAGTTCGATTATACTAGCACTCAGCTGGTTTTTCTACAGTGCAACTGTGCAGCATGATTAAATTTTACTGAATTTGTTGCCGGGAATTATGCTGTAACTACATGTTTGTGCCACTGCAACCTGTACGTTTCAATGTAATTCTTGATAGCGTGGCTAGTGCATTAATCATTTGACATAGTACGAGGGGTAAAAGGTTTCTCAGATGCAATGCAGCTGTTGAAGAAAAAGGATATAAAAAGGATCATTTAACGTGCACAGATGTAGTTAAACAAAGCAGTGATCCTGCTGCTGGTTTTAGGGGAGAGCACGATAGGCTGCTCGATGTGGTGTCACCAGCTTCACCAGCAATCGCGGCTGCGGAAGTGGTGAATTAAGCAATAGTGCAAGTCTCTGTATACGATGCTTCGTTTTTGGATAGGTGTGGAAAATAACATAGAAGCTGTACACAAGTACATTAACTCTGCTTGACTGTGCAGCAACTTCCTTCATACCGACAGTATAAAATCTCCAGAACATCCCATGTAGTGCACAAACCAAAAAGAGATGCCTTTTTTCTCCTAACTAGTCTAGAAGAATTTATATCCCTTTAGCTGATACGCAGTAACAGCCGGGTTAAATGCTTTATTGTATTGCATAATATATATAGGTCCTTGAATTTCTGTGTAACACTTGAACATATGGGACAAGCACACTTGAAATGAAGAAATTTACAGCCTTGGGGCTGTGGCTGCAATCCTTCAAGGTGCTTGACGTGTCAAACCAAGCAGGCAGCGTGCACAACCTTGCAGGGTGTTTGGCATCCTTGGGGAAGCATCGGTAATGCAGCAGGCATCATTGCAATGTGGAGCAGTTCAATTCCTGCTTCACAGGAAACCAGAAATAGGCCCAGGGCCAGAGGAGCTCCAAGTGGCTCTGTTAATGCAACACCTGAGTAACTGGAGTTATCTGTTAGTCGTTTGAGAGATTTTTGTGACCAGGAACTCAGTGCCAGGAAAAGCTGCATGCTGGGTGGCTCTTGAGTCATGTAGCTTTGGATATGGAAAGTACCATCAGGTTATGGAGGCTGCCTGTTTACTTTGGAAGGAAGTTTCTGAAGCGTTATGTAGTTTGTCACTGTAATAATTGCCACAGCCCATGTTCTGTGGAAATTGTGGAGTAATCTTGTCAGCAATTCGATATGTAGGCAAAGCAAATAAAACCAGCGAATAAAATCCTCACTCTTCTTATACCCTACCCCCAAATAAAATACCAGCTCTGTTAAAAAGCAGAAACTGCTGGGAAAGAAATGTATTTTGAGAGAGGTGATAGGGATTTGCTAAGCAGTAATGCTGCTGTGACTGCAGGCCTTGTGGAAATGATTTGGAACTGTCCAGACATGCTCTGGTTCAGATCAGGAAGGTAATGGGACCTTGAGCCTTACTCTATAAACACAGCTTTAGGCAAGACTTTTCTAGTCTTGTCACCTTGTACATGGCTCCATGGCTATTAGCAATGGCAGCCTGGGAAGAATGGCTTAGACCTCCTTGGGCAAGTTGTTGCAGGATGTGGTTGTTGGGAGATCCTATCTACGTATTCCAGCTCTAACCAGCACTACAGCTTGCTGGAAATTCATAGCTAAGCACCGAGGCTGTAGGTTGAGCCTATATCTGTGTGAGTATCAGGCTTATACACACAAGGATACTGTTCACACAATGTTTGCATATAGATCTGAGAGAGGCTTTGTAGTGCAGAACAATGGTGCCATGACCCTGTCTCTTAAATTAATAGTAGGAAAATGTAGCTTTCTTCAGGTGCAGTTTTTCCTCCTTTACACTGTGAGCCTTCTGTAAACACTACTCCGTAGCAAGAAGATCATTATTCAACTCTGTAGGACTAATAAATAATACATGCTTCAAATTTGCAGACAGCTTTGAATGTGAATTTGACTTCTTACAAAGAAGCTTGTGGCAGATTAAATTATGCTTGTTATTGATTTTTTTTCCCTTTTAGATGCATGTAAAGGCTAACCTCTGTCCTAGAGATGAAATTCCAACCGGAGCTGGACAAAGCACAAATGATGTGGAGAAGAATCTCAAGTTACAAGAGTAAGTTCACTTCAGAAAAATTTCAAGTAGGAGATCTAAACCAGTTCCTTACACAAACGCACATGCCTGTATTTTTAGCTTTGATACTAGATTTCGGTCTCCCAGTGCATTGCTGGGATACTGAGTTGTGATTTTTTTTCCAGATGTGCCCAGTGGAGCTGAGGGCACTGCCAGCAACTGCTTGAGAGCCTATAGGATCGCCAGACTTATGAAAGCTGTAGTGCTCAATGCTCCTGCTTGCTGCTTTCATCAGGATCTCTGGACACGCACTGTTGCTGCGCTGGGTCATTGCTCTGTTTCTGAGTTTGAGAGATCCCTGCCTCCTACAGCACAAGGCTACAGAGCCAAGGGTACAGAGTTGTTGCCATGAAAGCTGCGTTGCTGTGCATTGAAACGCTGCTGGAATTTTGGAACACAGGTAAGAGCTTTTAGTGCTGTACAAGATGAAAAGCTCCTGTTCATGCTACAGAAAAAACTTCTATTGACAGCAGTTGTTAGTAATGCGTATCACTACTTTGTAGTTCCTCAGAGCACATGGTAATTAGATTTACAGTATTCAAGGAAAAAAAAAAAGAAAAAAAAATACAGCTACCGGCATAGCTAGGGAGATGTGTTACAGTATGAAGTCACTTCGTCTACCTGCTTAGTTGTGAAAAGCAAATAATACAATTTGTGGCAGCACTGGATGTCAAGGAGTGTTTAAAAACATGCTATCACTATTTCAGATGTGGTCTATATAACAATAATAATAACATAAAAAAATAATATGGAGTTACCTGTTTTTAGACCAGATTGAAGAAACACAAAAGCCTCCTTGGAAGCCAGCAAAGTAGGTTTTCTGTCACTTTTGAACAAGCTTTTTCCTTTAATCACCAGTTTTACCTTCTATTGTCCATCAACTCTGCCTTCGTGAATATGTGAGGGGCAATGAAATCTCTCAGTAGTATCAAAACGAAAGAAGTACTCAGCAGGGTGTGCACAATGCAAGTAGCACATGTCATCATCACCTTTATTCTTCTGCATTGTAACTGGACAAAATTCCTTCTGTCACTCCCTAGTATTGCTAAAAATGTTAGTAGTGTTTTAGTTTACAACTAACTGATTGGTGTCCCATATCTAGTTTTATAACTTAAGCATTCTGTAGAATTAAATTGCCGCACTGCTTTTCAGAATGTGGAAAATCCTTATGGATATCCCTCGGTACTTATAACATTAGTCACAAATTGCTTTGGTACTTTGAGAAGTGTGATGCTAAACCGTGACAAAATACAACTGACACTGTCTGCGTGTTGAAATGTATTCTGTAGAGTTACAAAAGTGTTTTGTTTTGTGAGGCTGACATTCAGAAATGCATTTGCTTTAACAATAATAGGCAATATATGTTAACTTCTTTTAACCCACAGCCCTCTCAGAAGGAAAGTTTTGACAGTGAAATATTTAATTGATTTCAGCAGCAGTGGGTCAGAGTACACAATTCATGTAAGTAATCTAATTTGTTCTTATAGCTTTAAGTTGTCTATGGGTGCTGGTAAGCCACTGATATTTGTATTTGGCTGCTGTTGCACCAATAGCACTGCCCACGTGGAAGAAAATAATCTGCAAGTCTTTCTTCATTCACCTTACCATTTCTATAGCATTATTAACATCTGTATTTACCAGATGCATCAATCAAGTGTAGCCTTGGGTGCTATTGTTTGTTCTGTGTTTCCGTTAGAGTGCTCGTGTACACGCTCACTGTTTTTAGAGCAGTGGACTGATGTTTTAAACCTGTTGCATATTTTTTTGGCTCATTGTAACATAGCCTGTTCTCTTGGCATTTGAAAGTAGAAATTTTCTCTACCAGCCTGGTGAGATGTCAAAGGCATGGATGCCACTAGGTTATCCACCTTTAGTCTTCTCTTACAGTATCCGTGCTGAGTTGTCCTTACAGATTGGATATGTGGTAGGCAGACTGTGACATCTTTTTGGCATATATGGACCAATGTAATTGAAATTTGAATTAAGTGTGTGGCTGTCTTAATAGCCTGACAGTAACTTCAGCGAAGAGGTGTCCCTGCACATGCAGAATGTGCCTAGAAGCGGGTTTCCTAGTCCGGTAAGTAGAATCACTTCTCTGTTTGTATCTTATTTGGTTTTGGTCTGCTGGTTTAAATGGTATCCTGTTGTGTTCAGTCAGCACTGGCAGAACCATGTTGGTAGACATGTTGATGTGGGTGAGATTTTGGCATTAGTGAACTGAGATTTTGTTGATGTATCAATCCTGTAGCTCTTAGCCACTTCTATGTAAGTATAGTAAATCCAAAGCAATCCTTGTATTTGCATATGCGTGTGTGAAATCTGCAGAATCTTCTCAAGAGCGTTCATAGCTTACTACTTCAACATAGTGTAGGTAACAATGTGCAGTTTTGCCATCCCCCACTGAAATGCAAACTGACTTGCCCAGCTAGGATGTAATTGTGTACCTCCACTGGTCTCTCCACATGTTGGGATTTTTCCTCTTCTCCATGGCAGAGCAATGCCACTGTGCCATCAGCAATGGCAGTAGCTGACAGAGGACGAAATTCAGGATGTCCATTAAGCCAGTCTGCCCACCCTACCCTTTGGACAACCTGCCCATCTTGCATAGGTTGATCCATTAGGTCTATCTTGTACTCTGCAGAGCCTGTGTTAGAGGAGAAAATGCACTGCTGGAGGTGGGCCAATTTCTGGTTCCAAATGTTTATGCATCTTCTTAGCTTTCACGCCTTCTCTGGTGATTGCTTCCATATATACAAAATCTGACAAATAATTGCAGTTTGAAGGGCACGCTTAATGGAAGTCCATGAAAATGATTCACAGGCAACTGTAAACTGAACTATTACACTAAAGGATAAAAAGCTTCCTTAATGAGCTGTACAAGACAGTTATTGATGTATTTATGAAAACATTCCCAAGTACATGCAACCAGGGGAATTCGAAGATAAATATTTAAAGATTGGCTGACAGTTTTTGAATGTAGCAAAACTCTAGTTTCTTGATAAGGCATTATATTTATTCTTTTAAAAAAAAAAAAAAGTATGTGATTTGTAACAGAAGAGAATCAAAACTTAGGTTAAAACGTGAAGGTTTTCTGTGCTACAGTGTTTATTTCTATTCATAAGAGGAGATAAAACAAGGAGAAAATAGGCATAGGAAGCTTGGGATGTTAATAAGGTAAACCAACATTTGTTTCTATCCAAATAATTTATTAGAGTCATGACACAAAACTGTATTTAAGAGGATGAAATCTAACAACAGTTCAGCATTTGATTAAGTTTTCTTTCATCCTATCATTGTTGTACACAATTAGGTTATTCAAGTGTGATCTTTAAGTATTCATGTTGTGATTCATAACCTTGTTCTTCGCACCCCAGGGAGAGAAAAATTGGTCTGTTATAAATCTGATTAATATATGGATCAGTGCATGCCCTTTTAATGTTTATTACACACATGCGTTTTTAGTTTGGATAAATGATTATCTCATTTTGTTACTTGCTCTTTGTAGGCATACTGTGTTATTCTCTGAAGAAAACTAAAAGCATTTCAAGTATCCAGGGCTGACACTTGATTTGGTATTAGCTTGTCAGTTGAGATGCCTTTTACTTTTAAATGGCTTAATAATCAATAAATTTTAAACAATATGATTTTCCTTAGGATTTTATCTGCTGTGTCATGTAACTTCTCCTGCCATAAAGAATGATCTGTCTCACTCTATTACAGCAGCTTTAGAGCTTTTTTAGACTTATTCCACTCCAATTTTGTTAAGGCTATAGATGGAGACTGGACTACTGGATCTGTCCCCTTAAAAAAGTATGGAAATGAGGAAAATATGAATGAGAGAACAGGGGACAAGTTAGGCCAGTCTATGCAAAATGTTGACGGTAACCTCGAGTATTGTTTGTGGGTAGCGCCATGTTACCAGGAAATCCTAAAGATTATCAGTAGAAGGATTTTAGTCATGGAAGTTCTGTTTTCTAGTGTGAAAGTTTGAGGCAAAGCTGAATTTCCACCCAGGTGATAATGCTGGCTACATTTGCACTTGTCAGAATACAGAGTAAATTTTTTGGCTAAAAAAATTTAGCCAAAAAAAACCACAAAACTTAGTGGATCTCATGGAAGCACTCGGTAGCCTCCACTGTGACTTCTGAACTTTTAGAACTGTACTGTATGGATTGAATTTTAATCTTTTTTTCTAGCTTCCTGATGGGATGCATGGGTTTGATTCTTTCATTTTTTTTTCCTTTTTTCTTCCTTGCTATTTGATTGCTTTAATTTTTTATTTTTTTTTTGTAAGGGGGGCTTATTTTTCTCTTTCATTTCCTCTGTTAGGATGCAGTAGTTCAAGTCCCCTTGAGGCGATAATGTCCTTAAAATAGAAGGCAATCTGTGTATTAAGGATTGTTGCAGTGGAAAACTAGCGTTGGTTGGTTTGTTGCTACGTGGGACTGCAAAGAAAGGAGAGTAGAAGTAAGAATACCCAATAATTTGATAGTTAAGGAAGCACGGAAGTATGCACATACTTTTGTACAAGTTCTCAAGCCTTGGGTAATTCTTTGCCCAGCTCTGTATATCACATATCTGACTATTAGTATGGAACAGCCAATGTTCATTTATGTTAAATCTCTCGCACCAAATTGTCAGTGGTTATGAGAGAAATGTGTTGATCAAAGCTGGATTTTTCAAACAGGTTTCCTGCAGCTAGTCTAATAATTTGTAAAAGCAGTTAGCATTTGAACACCAATAGTTCTGTCTCCCTTGCAAGCACATTACATTATGCAATTTAGAGCTCGAGTAAGGCTTAACTTCAGTCAATAAACCTTGTGGCTATTGGGAAAACGTTTCTGTACTCAAGGTCTGTATTTGATTTCTTGGTACATAGATTAAAAATTGAAGATTTTTATTCGAATACAAATTATGGATTATGCACTTCAGCTTCAGCAGCCCGTACTCACACCTCTGCACTAACAAACTCCTGCTCAATCTCTTTGCTTGGCTGAGATGCCTTTTGACATAAGCTAATGGAGGTGCCTTTGTTTCGATCGACAAAACAAGCACTGTGCTTGCAGGGTAGTTGACAGCAACATAGGAAAGGAGGACAACCTGAACGATTCTCAGGGGCTGCAAAACTGTGTTACATTCCTTGTATTTGCTGCTGCACCTGTTGCCTTTGGAAGATTGTTACTGGCAGTGTGCAAAGGACTTTGTTCCACAGACATGTAGATAATCTTAGACCCTCTTCTGCACTCTTTTCAGAAAATGTAGTGGTTAACATTGTACAGTTCCAGGTGCATTATAACTCAAAAATTCTGTTGAGAAAAACTTACATTGCACTTCAGATGCTCAAAACTTCATCAGACAATTTTACTGACCTCCCCAAGGTAGTCCTGGTTTCTG